ATATGTATGTATGTATGTATGTATTAAATGATAGGATTAAGCTTTAAAAGGTCTTCCATTAAAAAAAAAGTGTTACTACTTCAACAGTCCAGTGTTTAATTTTCCTACCTGGGGGAGGCTGGGGGAGAGATGGGGGGTGATGATATCTTGTAATGAACTGCAGTATCCCTTTCTCAGTGACACTGATCTTCTGCATCCTACAATAATTCAACCGTGCCCTTAGAGTCACCTCCGGTCAAATGACAGACTTATTTTGGTTCCAGCTTAAGTGCGGACACAGAAGGTGCTTAAATTCACTGAGGTGAAGAGGATGTTGAAGATCACTGAAAGTGCAGTACAGTCATCCCTCACACTTATAATAGAGTTGATGAAAACAGCCAAGGGTCAGTGTTGATTTTGGCCACGGCCCACTGTGTAATGACATCCTGTATTGCCAGTGGAGATGTCCGTGCATGGGAATTTTGAGTGTATGCAAACTGACACAGCAGAGTTGATTTAACATCTTTGTTACACTGGAGTGTAATGCTTTTTATTTATTTTAATTTTATTCATTATAACATTTATTTTCTTTTATCCATTTTCCCCCACTAAATTCATGTATGTGCTGTATGTATTCATTTATAGTATATGTACGCAATATATTTTGTAATAACAGAAAGGAACTGAAAAGACAAACAAAAACAAATGTTGCTTTTTTAAAAAACTTGGCACTTTATTAAATGTACAAAAATAAATATCAACATGTCATATGCATTTCTTAACCATAAATAGTGTATTGATACTGATGCATAAAACGCTGTTCACAGTTTTGCAATAATGCATTGGTACACTCAGAAAAAGACTGTAATAATTGTATAATGCTGTAGAACAATATATTCAAATGTAAACTTCCCACAGGGATTAGATAACAGACTTCCATAACATTGTCAAGCAAACAAAGCATCTTTTTACACAAATACAACCACACCGTAAAGGTCTGGGCCACTGAGACTGGATCTCTGTCCTTACAGCCTGTTTTATATCAGGCTATCAGTGCTGTTTCTGTAGGATTCTGTTGGAGGTGCTTCAATGTCAGAGTTGCTGTAAAAAGGGACAAAGAATATGATGAGTTCAAATCACTGAAAAACAGAGATGAGAGAATAAAAGAGTAAAACAAAACATGAGATTAATATATGTGCATATTTTACCTGCTCAGCTCAAAGGTGTCCTTTTTCTGTTTCAGTTGTTTCCTGATCCAGGCGGCAGCAGAAAGAGCACTGAGCACCGTGCCCACTGACACCACGCCAGAAACGAGAGCCGTGACAGAGGGAGAAGCTGTGAAAACAAAAATGTGAACCTGAATTGTTTGTCCACTTGAAAAGGAAATTGGGGATTTTATACTGACAATGTGGGCTAGGCCCTGGTCATATTTCCTTCTTTACCTTGGCAGATAGGTCTCTCTTCAGTCCAGTTGCCATGATGACTGCAGGTCAGCAGCTTGTGTCCAACCAGTGTGTAATCTTGACCACATGTGAAGGAGCACTCTGAGCTGTAAACCAGTTCACTGTCCGAACAGTTGACGAAACCATTTTCAGGAGCCTTGAGCAAAGGGCAACTGACAGCTGTTGGAAAAGAGCAACAGAGAATCTCATTAGACATTCAGTCATCAATCAGCAAACTCAAAACACCGGATGAACCTGATTCAGTGTCTCACATCTTCTTGTACCTGTGCAGGTCGCTGGTGAAGAGCTCCATTGGCCTTTACGTGCACACTCCATGATGTCTGCACCTTGGAGCTCGTAGCCTATGTCACAGCTGAAAGTGCAGAGCACACCAAGTGCATATGGGCTGTGGCTAAGAGATGTTGAGGATGGTGGGAGGCTGCAGTCCACGTGTCCATTTGCGGGGATCTTGGGAGCAGGACAAGTTATTTCTAAAACACAAGAACAGATCACAAAATGTCAGAGCTCATTCTGGCTGCAGCTGTGAAAAGTACTTAAGTTTGTGTGAAAATGTGTTCCCCGTACCTTTGCAGTCAGGTAAAGGTTTGCTCCACTTCCCTTCGTCTGAACACTCAGCTGCGTCTTCTCCCATCAGTTCAAAACCCGGGGCACAGCTGAAGCTGCAGGTGGAGCCTGGTGAAAGTTCAGACGACGGTCGGCTGCACTTGGGGATCAGGTTACTGTGCCCTTTTGGACTGGGACAGATAATCGCTACATGAGGAAAACAGAAAACAATATTAAGTGTCAATGTGACGGCTGAGAATGCACAACTTGGGGGATTTTTGACGGAGTCCATCCTTACCTTCACAGCGTGGCATTCTTTCACTCATATTGGCTGCTGTTTGAGCTGTGTCAGTCAAACTGATTGGTCCCACCAGGTGGTAGCCACGGGCGCAGCTGAAATTGCAGGTTCTTGTTGGGGTGAACCTGAGATCTATGTTATAACAGCTGACAAAGCCGTTGTCCAGCTTCTGAGGAGCAGGAAATGGGGCAACTGCAAAAACAGTGGTGCAACACAGAGCGTCAGCAACAGTTTTGGTAAAAAAATTGTTTCTGAAACTATATTACAAATGAACAATTCAGATATAGGAGCGTACCAACACAAGTTGGCTGCGAGACGTTCCACTCTCCAGACGCACCACACTGTGTCCTAACAGTGGTAGACGAGGAGCCCTCCAGTACGTAGCCCTCATTGCAGGTGATCTCACAAGTGGACAGGTAGCTGGAGGAGCCCAGAGGGTTGGAACATGATGTGTACCCTCTTTCTGGAGAAAGCAGCTCTGGACATTGAACCACTGTAGAACAGATACATGACAATGAACATAAAGTCGTATTCCAGTTCATTGAACTTGATTTTCACTGCTTTATTTTCACTTACGTTTACACTCAGGTGGCTGTTCTGACCACTGCTTAGTCCCAGTGCATCTCAGGGGTCTCGACATGGTCAGTTGGTATCCCGTCTCACATGAATACTGACACGAGGAGTTGTAGGTGAATTCTCCATACTGGTAAGTGCAGTTTACATGTCCCTGGTATGGAACAGTGACCTCCTCTCTTTTGCATGTGACGACTGCCATCAGAGGACGGAAATATATATTTAGATATACTTATTCTAATTTCCAAATATTACATTTTTTTTTGTTTCTTGTTTGTTGGTTTCTTACCTTGGTCACACTTTTCTCCATAAAAGCCATCAAAGCAGGAGCATCTGTGGCTGTTGATGGTTTCGACACATTCTCCAAAGTGACAGGAGTCATTCTTACAGGCAGCTATAGGAAGATGACAAGAGATATTTTTAAAAAATATATAAGTTAATTTTTTGAAATTTGCAACACCCTTTACTGTGTAAATATTTGAGATTGTCTTCTCACTGACCTGTGTAGCACAAAGCTGTCTTCATCTTCCCACACCTCTCGTCGTTCCACTTGCCTTTCTGGTCTGACTTTGTTTTGATGTACATCTCCACACAGTCTTCACTCTCTTGAGCATTGTCTGCATTATTGGGTTCTCCTTTTGCCCAGTTGGTTGCTTCTACAGTCAGAGTCTTGTTGGTACCCACCCAGGTCCACACATCACTGATCTTGCGGATGCCAATCCAGTAGTAGGTTTGTTTGAAGGGGAGCCAGCTGTTGAGATGTTCAATCTCCTTTTGGTTCTGGATGGCCACCATGTCCGTGTAGTGCTCCTTGCACCAGGCTCGAGCGTCTTGCCAATTCATGGTGCTGTTAGAGTAGTAATAGGACCAGCCCTCTACACTGGTCCATGTACACAGCACTAAGGATGGAGAAAAATAGTCGTATAATTAATATATATATAATTAAAAGAGCGAAAAAACACATTTATTTTCTTCTTTTTTCATCACATACTTGAGTAAAAAAGTGTCAAGCAGATCCAGGATGAGAACATCTTACGGCCATAGATGGGACGGAATTCAAAACTAGTGTCCTGCAAGAAATATTTTACAATGATATGAGCACATGAAAACACATGCAGCATTGCGATCTCAGCTCTTTGAACTGACACAAGTGCACTCACCATTTTACGTCGTACAGCTTATATCCTTGTAAAGTTTGTATGCTCTTATGAAGTCGTCCAAGGACAGGATTAATCTGAGCTGGATGTCCAAAAGCACCTCCTTTATATACCCTACCCCAGACGTGTCCAGGTTTCCTGGAATAACTCGTCACGTCCGGATTTCAGTGGAAATACCCATGCCCACTCCTCTTATCCATTGGAAACTTTCCCCCTCTGTTTGGATTTCCTCTTTAACAAGTTAAAAAAAAAAAAGAAAGTGAGCAGAAGTGAAAATAAAACCACATTTTACATCAATAACATTTTTAACCCTGCTGTAACTCTAAACCTGCTGTGGCCTGTTTATAATTGAATTATGCATAAAGTAAATGTTTGCAAATTAAATTAAAAGTCGTGTTTTTATAATTTAAAAAAATGTTTTTTTTATCAGAACAAAACGACATACAGCTATTAAAGGTATAGTAATTCCTATATAACTGCAAAGAAGGAGTAGTACTAAGGAATTCTAGTACTAAGCAGTATTACAGTTGTGCGACTAAATGGTAGACAAACCCAGAAGGTGTTTCTGGTAAGTCATTAAAATTCTTCTACAAGTCTTGTATTTGAAGTGTGACAAAACTGCAGCATGAGGGGAAACATAGTATTGTTTAAAAAGGTATCTCTCCCGTCCAAGAATGTTTACCGTCAACAGCAGTGGTTGCATCAGTTCATTTTTATGAGCACCCAGGGATAGGAGATGTGTTAGGAAGGACGAGAGGCCAGTGCTGCCACCACACAGTCTGGAAATGACATTTTACATCCTTCCTCTCCGACCTTACACTCGAGACAGCAGCCATTGTTACTTGACGCCTCTCAAGCACCACAACTTCCGCTGACAAATTATATGAACTTTCAAATTAGGTGAATCAGAATAAGGGAAAGTCCTGATTAAACAAACAACTGAACAAATGCTATTTACAGACATTTCTTCCCGTTCTTGAATTTAGAAGAATTCTAAAATTAACTGGGTGACTGGCTACTACATTATAATGATCTCTGAATGCTTTTTAATATATTTTATTTTATTATTACCAGATACATGTCACTTTTCCTCAATGGATCAGTGAGTAGAGAAGTGAGAAATGTTTCTCTTTGAGGTGGAAACGTACATTTGATTGACAATATTAGAAAACTTTTTTTATTCATACAGTAAAAACTCTGTGTCAGTTTGACAACAGTTGAACAGATTAATTTTATTAACTTCTAGTTGCACAACTATAATCTGTTTTTATAGCTATCATGTCTTTAAGCCCTTAAACTGGGCCTTTACTCTGTCTGCTGGCTACATGCCTATTTTAATTTTGGCCTATAATACTATTTTTGGTTATAAAAAGAAAATATAAAACAAAATATAACTGTAAATCGAAAGTAAGTACAGAAGTCTATCCAAATTACAAAAAACAAAACACAAAACAACTTTCGGGATATCTGGATATACCTTTAGTAAGTACAATACCAACTGCTGCCTTATGGAGTCGCTAGCGTGCACAACTAAGGCTACACAGTTGCAGTTGCGAGCGGTAAAGAGTCTGTCTCTTTAAGACTTGTAAAATTCAGTCCTGGTCCAAATAAAGGCAACAGCGCAGTGGTATCTGTGTCGACTTCATACTTCTGAATAGTTCGGTTCGACTCTCCTCAGAGCCGTGAGTAAAGCTACAGTCACCATGGCAGACGCTCTGGCTAAAGTCCCTGACGTGGAGATCGATCCTGAAGGAACCTTCAAGTACATACTGGTCAGAGTGAAAGTAAAAGACGGCGAAGCCCATAAAGACATAGTCCGTGGCACAAAAAGCGCCCAGTACCATAGTAAGTTCCTAACAAGAGATTCAACTGCGTCATGTCGCAGGTGTGCAAACGTTGTTTGCGTCTTCGAACCGGAATCGCAGCGTTAAATGTGCTCTTTAAAACACTAACCATGCACATTCATTTTCATATTCCAATTTATTATATTTAAACAGGAGCCCAATGTCTACAAAACACTCAGAATGTATGCGTCGATTGGTTTACAGATCACATATTTGAGAAGATCAGTCCGGCTGTGGAGGTCTTGGGGCTGGAGTGTCAGTGCCTTGGAGGAGGAAAGATCGAGCACAACAACCAGGAGAAAAAACTGAGGGTGTTTGGAGAATCGACAGTGAGTCCATACTCTTACCAAAGTACTCAGAATGCAAACCCAATTTCCACAAAGGATGCATAACATGCAGAACATAATATATAGATATATGAAGTGACTCACAAATTACAGGCATTCATTTATATTGATCTTAAGCAGGTGTATTGAATCAAATAGAAGTGCAGTTTATGAATTCAATGTCCAATACTCAGGATTATTTTAAAGTAACAATAAGTTGTTTTTTCTTTTCTTTAGGGATATGGTAAAGCTGATCATTCAGTGACAGTGGAAAAGTTGAAGACAGTCTTCAGCAACTATGACATCACATGGTCTGATGACACAAAATAGACAAGTTATTTGATATCCATCTCATTACAAAGTTCAAACTAAGAATCAGAAGCATACGCCTAAACGTAGATTTTGAGTGTTTTCTTGGGATTCTGTACTAAGCACAGATACTGTCTGATGTGACAAAAAGTTATTTATTTATTATAGATTAAACTCTTTAAAATAAAATGACTCAAACATTTTTCATTTGGACATATCTGATTTGAAATGTGCACGAAGTGTAAATTCCACACAGGAAAGTGTGGGCCAGTTGGCCCTAGTGTCACATCCTGTTATTCACAGGCACCATTTTTGTGAACAAAGGCTTTCACTTGACCACTAACGGACATTCATCAACTTTATCTGTTATGTATTGATTAAATAAATAAATAAAAAAGGCTTGCATAAAAGCCACTGTTACCATAAAACTATATTATGGAGAAATATATCAACAGCAATACATACAAGAAAAGTGCATATATATGTTGTTGATATGGTGTTCACCAACCACATAAACAATAAGAGTAGAATAGTGACAGTAAACATTAATTTAACATCCACACTATTTTTGTCAGACATGCTGGTTCCTGCAGATTACTGATTCCAGCGACTTCTCAATGACACGTAAAGTCGAAATTGCAACCAGACATTGAAAATATGGAAGTAGCTGAATTTAAATGTTTTGTTTTAATTTCCAAGAATTGTGATACATTTGTAGCAAGAACATTTGAGAAGCAATTTAACTTCCTTCTAATCTATCCAGTTTGGTATACTAAAAGTCTACATCCCTTTTCCCAGGATTTCCCACACAAGCTCATCTGACCACGTTTTGTAATGTCTACTGCCATTTTTAGCTTATGACTCACCATCCTGATCAGATTCAGAATATCCATTAAATACAATTATGCCGCTAAACTTTCCCACAAAGAAGAGGTTTGTATGCGCTGTGTTTTTTCTCCAGAAAAAAAAAGTCTGTCTGCAATATGTAACCCGGTGGTTTCTGTGTGATCTCAGATTCCAGTCTAAGCTCCAGTGTGAAGCCAGTTTCCTCTAAACGGATAACCTTTCCATTATCTACAGACAAGCAGGTCACCATGAGAGGAAGAGAGTGAAAAAAAAGGGTTTTTTAGAATCAAACCACTTCTTGGAAAACCTATTAACGCTGGAGACCCACATTTTATAAGAAATGCTGAACTAAACTGTGGCTCTCAATTCATAAGTACAAAAATATATACAGTATACATTGTACACAATATGACATAAGCATTCTACAAACACACGGTGAGATGTGTGTTTAAAATAAGATGCATTTCAAGAGGCGCTCTGTTTCCTGAATGTGTAATTGCTCTTTTCCTGCTGTGGCAGCGGCAACCAACACCGAGCTGTTGGGAAGCATAGATAAAACGAAGGAATACCTTCCTTTACAGCTGATGGAGATTCTATCAGTGAAACAATAGAATACCAGACACAGATGTGTGGAGACAGTCCGGACAGAGCCAAGAGAATTTCCAGAGAATTCCCTCTTCCCCTCCCTGATTGAAAAACCATCCTTCTCACACATTTACACATCTAATTTACAGTAAATCTTTTAAATAGACTAAAAGGAATGTATATAGTTATACATGTCTGCATCACAGTTCTTTTTTTATTAAAAATACAGTATGAAATAAAGACAGAAATCAGTGCAATACCCCTTACTATGGGAAAAAGAAAAAAAACCCTTAAAACTTCTTCAAAACTCTCTGCAAAAATATATGTAAAACTTAATTATTTTTCGAGAGAACCTGGATCACCAACTGTTTTCCTACTGCTGTGTCCTTACTTTATACTGAAGATCTTTACAAATCAGGGTTCCAACTGTAAACAGATAATCTCTGTTATATTTCAATATCCAACTTTTATCAGTATATTGTCTTTGCTGCTCTTTCCGTTCCGATTCCTGTGATATGGGTTAAAAGATCCAGAGCAGGGGTGCCCAATAAGTAGATTGCAACCTACCAGTAGACTGCAAAGGGAATACTGGTAGATCATTGGCTATTAAAGTAAAAATAGAAACTATAAATGTCATTCTATTTTCAGATTAAATCTCTTGCACTAAATTAGTAACCATATAAGGATTGAATCATATTAACAAAACATTTTGTTATTTTTAAGGGCACTTTTTAGACACATCTCTTATAAAGCTGGTATTATTTAGCAATCTTACATTTTCCAATACTAAGGAGAAAATTTAATTTTCTCTTTAGTGTTGAAAAGGGACTGTATGTATGACAAAAAAACTCGTTTTTAGTTTTCATCCAAATGTTTCCCCTTTATTAAACAAGAAACTAGTTATTTGAGGTGATTTTTTTTTTTACTCTACTCTTTTGGGTGATACTTCTTAGCTATAGTTGATCTCTTTGGGCCCTAAGAATTTGGTGTTCTTTTGTACGCAGAATTGTCTTCTTATACTTTCCAAATCCATTTTCTCATTAGGATGCCACGTTTGGGCTCACTCCTCTAGAATAGTTTTCTGGCTTATCTTGTTCTTCGTGACAAAAACATAACTTTTCTGACCGTAATCTGCAATTGTTACATTTTCTTTTCAACCATCTGTATTACAACGGGCAAAAAACTCAGTTTAAGAGCCGCTGTTTTCTCTGTTTCCTTATTTTTCGGCAAATTAATACATTAATTACATTACGTTATTGGTAACGTATTTAAAATATAAAAAAGATGACTCCGGAAGCCTTACAGTAGCCGTTGTTATTTTCACCAACAATCGACTCTTTTACTGGTTGGGAAGTTTTCGGTGAAGATATCAACCAATTAGACTGATGTATGGTGAGTGCGTTTTGCCTAACGTCATATCCGCCTCGATGCGCGGTTTGTTTGTCTCCAGAAAACTGTTCGCTTCTTTCTCCTTTTTGTGTTTTTAGTCGTAAATATTAAAACTGTGTCGTTTAGACGAGCAAGAAATGTAGGGATGTATCTGTCGCTATTGTACGTTTGAACAGAAGATTCCGACCAATATTTATGGTAAGAACATTCTTATTCTATTCTTAGCCTAACTTTACTATAACTTTAACGTTAAATGTCCAAGCTAATCACAAATACCACACAACAGCTAATCTAGTTCGACGTAAAATTTGTTCGGAACGCTCTAAAACATTCACCAGTGAAACTATTGAGTTTATCTTCACATTATCCACCTTTTGTTATTTTTCTTCAGTGTCTAGGAGCGGAAAGCAGCGTCTGTTCCTAACACTGTCATCATGTCCCAGACCAACACTTCTCTCCTGGACGAGGTCGTCCAGTGGAGTCAGGAAACCTGCCGCCAGGAGCTGAAGTCTGTCCTTCCTAAACTCAATATATCCTCCCAGACTCAATGTTCTCACTGACACCTCATCATGACTCAAACTTCATTGGTTTCCCGAGGGGGGTGAGGTTTGGAGAACAGATACTGAACTTGGAAGTTTCGTAGACAAGTGGTGAAACGTCCTTAGGAAACTTAAAATAATGCAGTTATTTTCTCCTGTACCTTTTGCAAGAGCAGGACATAATCATTAGAAAGCTTTATGTTGTTGTGGACCTAGTCAGTAATATCATATATCATATTTGGCATGCTCATTCTTTGTTCCCTTCATGTATTTCTTAACAGCACAATAGAATGTTCTAAAGTAATTTAGCAATTAATGTTCCTGTTTAAGAACACAAAAATGGAGAACATTGAATAATCTTTTTTAGGCAAATTTAATTTTAAAACAACTTTAAATCCTTTTCCGTGCATCTGTAAAACAATCTTGGATTAAATACTGTAAAACTAGAGCCTTTTAAAAAGTGTGCCTACCTTTTTATAACTAATTCCATATTGAAAGCATTTTCTATTTTAAAGCCTTTGTGCTTTTTTCAATTATTATATAGTCACACCTAACCACAAAATTAATTGCTGTTAAAAAACGAAACACCAGGTAATACATTTTGCTGCTGCATTGGTGCAACCGGAATGGACCTCGGAGATCCTTTCTGCATTGATGACACGTTTAAAAATATATGTGTCTGTCCCTCTGTCTGTATTCCTTGACTGTTTGTACTCTTTACAGCAGAAGTCAGTGAGTTGGGAGGAGCACATACGTAAGTTTTCACACACTTTTTGTATTCAATATACAGTATTACAATGGGTTGTGAGTATGGTGATTTGGATGTGAGTGTTATTTGTGATTTTGATTAAAAAGTGTATTTATAATACAGGAATACTGAAGATTATCACAGATATGTTCCTTCCACATATCCGTTTGTCAGAACTGGAAGAACAGTGCTTTGCTATATTCCTACCTAAGGTAAAGAGCATGTTGAACTTGTAAATGCATTTATTGCTTTTTTGTTTTATGTTTATTAGTTGCTGCCTTTCATCAGTCATGTCCCGTTAAAATCCTACTGTTCTCTAAATAAACTATTGTTTATTTAGAATCAGTTGTATATAACTAAAGGTATTCTGGTGATATGTTTAGTATGTATGCATTCAGCTAATAATTCTACTTTATTTGTCCTCAGGCTGTAGTAGTGTTTGACAGCATGATCGAAGAAATCTTAGACCAAGTTGGAGGGTTGTCCAGTCAAAACGTCGAACTGCGTGGCTCAATAAGAAGTATTCTTCAGGTACAACTAGCTATTTTGAACATTCTCATGCTATTGCTGATTTTATTTTTCAAGCAGCAATTGAGTGGAAAATGTACAGTTTAAAAGGGATTTTTCCTGTTTCACAAGTTCTAGTTCTCTTGTGTTTTTTCAGGCAATGGTGCAGGTCATCAATGCAGTGTCGGCTTGTGTTCAACGTGTTCGCTCATTTGAGCAAATTCCTGATCTGGATGCTATTCGCTCCTTACCCACTTGTGTCCTGAAAGTTTTAAGGAAAACCTTTCTACACTGCAAGGTCAGTATTTATCTTGTGCAGCTGTAGATGATTTGAAATATATGTGTACGTAATCATTAATCATTTACATGCTCTCAGTAGAATATTAGAGTCGAGCGAACAGTTTTGTCAGTCTAGTTACTCTTCTACTCTACTACTCTAAACATTCAGTGATGTTGTAGCCCATCCAAAGAGAAACAATCAACCGTCTTTAAAGCCCACTCTTTTATTGTAGTGGAAACGAATTACATGCTGAAATGGAAGATGTTTATGTCGAGTTTGGATCTTTATTCACAGGAGAGTGAGGTCGTCTACTGCAACCGTCTGTCCCTGGTTGCCGACCTTCTGCAGGGACTATTTAAGGAAGCGTATGCTCTCCAGAAGAGTCTGTTGGAACTGTTGGACCAGATCTCTCTAGATAGCGGTGCCTCAGAGGAGGATATCTCAGGCATTGTTACGAGTATGTGTCATATGCAGGAACCTGTGTGTTTCTGTTCCATGTCTGTGATTTGTTAAGGCTTTTAAATTCCTTAGGTTCTCTGCAGTCTGTGTTTACTATGCACTTTTTTCACAGTCATTCACAGCCTGCTGGATATCTGCTCTATTATCTCTGACTTGGACATAGCACTGCATGCAAACACATGGAAATTCCTCATCAAGTCAGTGAAGCAGCTTTACTTTAGTCTTTGTCCTTTTTCAGTCCTTTAGTTCTTACCAAATTAATATAAAAGTTTGAAGAATTTTACAACCAACATGTTTCTTGCTAAATTCGAATTTCTCTGACCAGGCAGAGTCTCAGACATCGATTGTTGGTGGAGGAACGTCTGCATCATGGTGACATCAGTTCCAGCCTGTGTGAAAACCTGCTGTCGTTCTTTCGCAGCAGTGTGGAGTTGGCCAAACAGATAGTACAGGCTGGTCTGAAGGCAAGAAAGACATTCTCTTCTTTCTATTTTTATGGATTTCTTCACATCATATATTTTACTACTTTTCAAAGTTCTAGGGCTAATAATTATTCATGTTCTGCTTCTCAGTATATTTTCACTAACATGATACCTGCTGAAGAAATAACATATATCTGTACGTCATATAAATATTTAATGTTTTTTTATTGCATATTAACTTAAATTTCAAAGTAGTATTAGTCTTTTTTATCAGTGGTCTCACTGCTCTTAACTCCTTGTTATAGGATGCAACACAGAGCACAGAATACAAGTTGTTCCAGAAAACTGCAAAGACAAGCAGGTTTTTTGCCAACACCCTGGTTCATTATATTAAGGTAAATGTTTTTTTTTATCTGGCTTGATGTCTCTTTCTAACTGAATTAAATCTCTATGAATGTTCTACCTAAACCCCACATTCTTTATTTTTCATCAAACAGGAATTCAAGTATTTTCTCACAGAGTCTCACAGCTCCATTCATCACCTTTACCTTCAGATTCTGAGGTATGTGTGATTTGTGTTTGGAATTTTCTAAACGAAGACGTTTCACCTCTCATCCAAGAGGCTTCTTGGATGAGAGGTGAAACGTCCTCTTTTAGAAAATTCACGTCCAGTTGCCTAACAGTACTTTCAAACTTCACCATATTTTATATTTAGTCCTGACTATAGAGAGCATCGTACCATATTCATGTTATTGGTTTTGATGTGTTTTAGCAAGTTCCCTCCCAGCCTGTCTGCTCAAACACTGCCCACAGCTCTGTCTGAGGAGTTGAGAGCAGCAGCTCTGATTCCCATGGACGCACTGCTGCTTCAGTTGATGCCTCTGAGACCGTTTGCTGAAATTGTCCTCCAACCAGACCTGCGTGAGTTTTTGTCATAGGTCATGTTTTCATAAAAATTATTTATTGTTTAGTGGTTCACAATGGACCTCACAACTTTTATTTTTTTAATTTAAAGAAATGAAAAGATGCACATTTTCTAATGTTACATCATTAAGTCCAAGTGGTTGTATTGCTGTTATATATCTATTTTAATACTGACCTGTATTTAATATTATTGTTACTATGCAAATTTTAGACACCAGTACTCTATTTTGGTGCTGTTTTTTTCTTTGTCTTTTAACTGTAACTGCCCCATGCTGCTATAACATTCAGTTTCCTATTTTGGGATGAATTGATAAAGTACATCTATCTACAGCAGGGGCAGGAAAAGAGCCAAAATGAGATTTAACATGTGACTGGTGGACCGGTTTAGTATTGGTCCGATGTAGAATGGAGGTGAAAAATATAAATAAAGTGTGAAAGATTAAACCTCACCTTCAAAGAAAATTTAGCACATTTGATGTCTGCTGCCATTTTGTGCCATCAATAGAAATCACAGTCGATTTGTAGTAGTGCATGAAACTGATTCACATCAGTTTTTACCATACCTTGTACCAGTGTTTGGTGGGCCCAATCAGAAAGCCCACTGGCCATAGTTTGCCACACAGTAAACATTACTATAATGCCCCTGCCTGGTTTGTGTGCAGAGTTGAGTCCTGAACATGAGCTTCCTCAGTGTCTTCTGCTGGTGAATGTTGTGGGTCAGCTGGTCACACAGACGGAGGATGTGCTGCGTCTTTGGCACACAGGTAGCCAGTTCTCAGAAGACACACCCAGGTACTAATATCGTTTTTTGTTTCTGTTTCCGTTTAAACTGCTGGTAATTGAATATTTTGTTGACCATGTATGACTGATTTTACACTGGCAACCATCGATTAAAAAGGTTCAATGTTACTTATATTCTACAGAATAAAAACAATGTCATATCATTTATAATTGTTTCAGCTGATGAAATACATTATAATAGTTTGAAGTGATCATTTTTCCTTTGCTAATTTGTCGTCATTTTATTCTGCTTTAATGTCTGAATGACCTAAAATCATCTCTCCATCTCCCTTGGCTTAAGGCTTCCTCTGTACAAAGCCTTGTTCATGAGTTTCCGTCGTTGCTACACTGAGCGCGTAGTACCAGTGCTGCTGCCAGGGGTCATGATGAAGGGTCAGGCCCAGGTCCAAGTCTCTGTGCACCACCATGTGTGTGTGAACATGTGTGCCTCTGTGGCCTCACTTCCTCCTGTTTACTTTCCTGTTCTGGTGAGGCCAACACACGGCACTGTGATCCATTTCAGCCAGAATCAATTATTTTTCAAACCAGTCAAGCCTTTTATTAAACAGGCCTTCACATTTCAATAGAACATACCTGCACCAATTATAGCACATGACAATATACATATTTGTTTTTTGTTTTTTTATTCCCAGCTATTATGATGGGGCATTACCTTTACTAAGTTTTGCATGTTTTAAAATAGTAGTGAACACGTCTTTTTTTCTTTGTAAAGATAATGATTATGTAAAGGAGTGAATGTGCAGAAAAACAGATTCTTATTATTTTGTCATGTGGCTAAGGACATTTTTGTTTTAATCAAAAACTTATCTAACTTTTGTCTTGAATCTTTTTCTTGGCTGTATTTTAGTGCATGATTTCCTGCCATTCATCGAAAAGTTTTTCTTTCACTTTGATGTTTTCTTATTTTGTCTGGCTATTGTACTTTCCTTTGCTTACATCAATAGCAATTATCTTCCTTCTTCCTTTTCATGTTACTATAATCTTTCTCTTGTTAGGAGAGATGTCTGGTGGATGCAGTCTTGCAGGCTGATTTACAGACTGCTTTGCTGGCAACTGATGTTTGGTGCTTTACAGCCCGGTAAGAGCCCAGACTCTGACATGAACCAGTGTCTGTGCTGTCATTCTGAACAGTAATTAAAGTATATTTTATACTTATTTACTGTACTGGTAATTTAAACCGAACTATGCAAACATCTAAGCAGATCAAAAAATGATCAACATGTGCTTTGACTGTTATTTCCCTTCACACCAGCATTAATACCTAAAGAGCTCAGGAGCACTGGTGTTTGAATTCTGAAAAACCACATTTGGGTGGTGGTGGAGGTGTTACGATTGGGCCCCTAATTATTAATTATTTGGTTTCTCCTGTACAGATATGGGACAGCAGAGCTCTGTCTACATCATGTTCTTCTCGTTGCTCAGCTGGTAAGTATATACTTACCTCAGACACCAACCTTCAATAGTACAGGGGGTCTTCGAGTTGTGTCGTTGTTTTGTTCCTATGATGCACTGTTTTGCCATAAGTCGGAACTTGTACATTGTATAAAAGTACCCATGTCACTCACCTACGCTAAAACAATAACATCATAATCTAAAACATAAAACATCAGAAGAGTCTGACATACGCTTGGGAGCCATAATGAAGAGCAAAAAGTCCCCCCCGCCCCCAAAAAAAACAACAACACAAACAAAAGAAAGCAAATGTAGCACAATCCAATGTATGGCAGACAACCAGCGTTATAACGTATCCGTCCACTCCACTCTCCATCTAGTTCCCATGCAAACTAGTTTTGAGAACTACTTGGCGAGCTTTAACACCCTACATTGGAATGATGGAACAAGACTTTCTTAATAAATTTGTGCAGGATGACGAGGTTACCACAAAATGCCGTAGGTTTGAGGACATCGTAAACCGAGGACCCCCTGTATGTTTTTTGGACTTCTTGTGGGCACTGTAACGTTACAGTAACATGGGTTTGCTACTAAAGACAGTCACTCAGTCCTTAAGCACCTTTTGGTTCTCTCTCTGTTAGGTAAAGACCTGTACCGTTAACTGTTACCAGTTCTTCTACCTCGGGCTGCTGTTGAAACGCATGGTCTTTCTTATAACGCCAAACCATCAGGTAAGAAAGTAATTGGAATTTAAAAAGCATATTGGAAATGTGTTACAGCTGCTGAATTGAGAATTAAAATCTCAAAATGAATCTGTAATTTTGTCTATATAATTTTTTTTCAAGGGTTTTTTATTTGGTAGATTTTTCAATTACTAAAGAGATTTTAAGAACAAAGATGTACCGTGTGTTTTGTTCTTGTACTTCTGTGCTGTCTCTCTGTTGCTGAAGAAATTACCAGTGAGTAATACACACTGAACTGATATTAATGATGTGGTTTTGGTTCAAAGTTTTAGAACAAATATAGGAGAACATAAAATGACGATTAATCTTCTACAAAAAATGCTTTCGTTAGATAGATGCAGATAAAAAATATATTTATTTTAAATGTTCCTTTAAATTCTAAGGTATTTCTAATAAAGTCATTTAAAAGACATGTTGCTTCCTCTTACTGGAGCTGTTTTAGAACAATAGCCTTGAATGTTTGTTTTCCAGATGGAGCTGCTCATACGGTTCCCTCCTAGTGAAGAAGACAATCTCCCAGTTTGGCGTCACATTCTCCTTAAGGCTCTTTCACAGGAAGTCCGTCAGTGTGTGGAGACTGAAATCATTGGCATTGCTCAAAGGTTGACACTAAACTGGCAGACTAAAGGACACAAACTGGGACATGTGGCCAAACTGGTGAGAACAATGAAAGTAAATTATCTAGGCAGAAACCACCCTTAAAATTAATTGTTTTATGCACACCAGAATTACAAGTAATACAGTATGACCTGTGTTTATCGTATCTTTGTGCTTCAGATGTCCAGTATACTCAACCCTTACAATATAATGTCATATTTATATTGTCCTTTCATTTACGGTGTAAAAATTTACTATGATGTAAAATAAAGACCCACAAAAGAATTTCTAATTTAACCTATGGATGGCTCAGTACAGTTCTTTCATGTTCATTACCGATACTGCAACTTGAAGTATCTGCCGATACTCCTATTGTTGCTTTTTTTTTTTACCAATATCAGATAGATGCCAATTTTGAGTATTTGGATTGAGCCATCCTTAATTTAAACTAAAAAAAAACCTGTCACTCATCCTTTAATTATCACACCGCAGATTAATATAGAGTCGTGTGGTCCCAAATTTTTAGATGATCAAAAGGAGCCAAGAAAACAATTCAAGGAAGCAAGCGTGTTGATGCTGCCTGTCCATTTTTGTATTCCGTCTATCTTTTCATCTTTAATAGTGTATCCTGTTAATTGTCGTGGAGAGAAATTGGAGTTAATCCCAGATGATAACAGGCAAAGGTGTGGTTCATCCTGATCAGGCTGCCAGTTTAACTGCTTCTAATTACCAGTCTTTATATTTGTGAGGGGAAAAATGAGCAAATATGTAACTGCAAACACAGTTCAGGAAAATTAATTAAAATACTTTGGTAACAAAGTTCCTCTTGTCTCCAGAACGTGGTGCTGTTTTCACTTTTGGCTGTGGTCCGGGGGCAGTCGTCTCATGAGGAACAGTGCGTGTTGTCTGTTATGAGAATAGTCACACAGCTCTGGTCACGTATGAATCCAGACCAGGTAAAAAACACAGAACCTCTAATACTCTATTAAATGCTAACTTTTTTCTCAACCACTGTCACCTGTCTCACTTCAGGTGCTGACTCACCCTGTGCTCCAGAGCACTGTGCAGTTACTCCTGTCACTTTCAGCTGTGTTGGTGAAGAACATCGATCCCCATGTCATTAGTCAGGTAAAATGTTTAGTAGTGATGCTTTAAATCCAACAGCCAAACGGACATTTTAACAGAGTTTGCATTTACATCTCTCAGGCTCTTTTGTGTGTGGAAGTTCTGGTGTCAAAAAATTGTCCGGATCACCTTCTACTGGCTGTCCTGGAGTTTTTGGCCTCACTGGGAAAGGTTTTTGTGCCTCATCAAAGCCAGGTACTAAAACCAAGGTTGACTGTATTTGTGGGATGGACACTAAAAAATCTTTGTCCACCTTATTAGCAGCAGAAACCTTCTTGTATTTTAGACATTCAGACATTATTTCTTTGTTGTCTGCTCCATAAACAGTGTCAGGCTTTAACATGTAGCTTTTTAGATACACAGCCTAAACCATGAAACCATGAAAAATGCAGCATGTAAAAATCATTTAACTCTAGTTTGAATGTAGTTAAGATGTGTATATGTTTAAGGTTCGGGAAGTTTTTGCCAAATTATGACAAATGTAATCTGTTTAGGTGACTTTTCCAAATATCAAAACCACAGTGGGTTGTAGCATATTGTAATAATGACGACTCAAAGAATACATAGTTATATAGAATAGAATAGAATAGTCTTTATTGTCATTATGTTCGGTTAAAACATAACAAAATTGGGAAAGGCTTCTCCACAGGTGTATCACAGATCATATCATTGTTACATAGTTATATTATATATATAATTTAACTAACAAAATAATTTATCTGAAATATTAACAATAAAATGCTATTGGAATTGAAATGTACAAAAACATTCGTGTGATTGAATTATCTCGTCCCAGAGTCAAATTCTGCCGAAGCTTAGCAGTCTGTTTGGGGTCTTACTTGCTGAAGGACCCTGGCTGCTCCACCAACATGCCCTGGAGACATTTTCTCATTATGCAGAAGTATGAAAAGTACTCTTCCTTATGTATTTATGTAATTGTCCAGTTCAGTGCTTATGATGACAAATAATTATTTCTCTTTTTTATAGGTTACAAACCATGAGGAAGTCATTTCCCAGAGTTTATCAAAAGAAGAAACAAAGACCGAGGTGGTGAACTATCTAAGCAAGGTAACATAATGGATTTTGACAAACATTTAGATTAATTGGATTTTCAGTTGTAATTGTAATTAGACAATTTTTGTTGCAGACTGTTAATGCTCAGGAAGAACCTGAGTCACGTCTACATAGACTCAAACTGGAAAGAGCTGTGGTTCAGCAACACAATAAGAAGCTGGAAAATGACAAGGAAGAATTTGTTTGTATAAAAGAGGCTGAAGAATCACGTTCAGACTCAGAGGTTGGTTGTATTTTCGAGCATACTTTACTGATAATCCTCATGCAGAGGTTTTCTAGGTGGAAGCAGATCGTTATAAACTTCCAAATGATACTGAGCTGTTGAAGATCTTTGTTGGTGTCTTTCTACAACTCCTGCTAGTATATCAGCATTGTGTTCAACTAAACAGGGCCAGGTTTCACAACTGTGAGTAAATCGTAACTGGAGGATTATTATATTTCAGTGCATAAGCTGTTTCAGACATCTCTTTTGGGATTCATTCATTAGATTTTTCTAATGTTTTGTATGTGCTGTTGCTCAAAGTGGTTGAGAAACACTGCCTTACTGTTTACAGCTACAACAAATAAAATTAAGATTCTGATTTTTCAGCCTTGTCCAAAGAGAGCTCGACAGGAACCCAGTGCAGAAGAGTATAGTCGCTACGTCCAGACAGCGGAAAATTCTTTAAAGGCTCTTCAGGCTTTGATTGAGAGCCAGACAGACCCTTGTCCAAAACCACCATGGCTAGAAGGAAAACTGCAGGAGCTGCAGACTCTCATCGTCCACATCAGAACACTTGGACAAACAGGTTAACAGCAACACATGACACTCCTGGGTTGTGTAAAATGTTAATTAAACTTGTTTGATTATGATGCAATATACATTACTTATTAGTGTTCATCCTTATTTGTTTCAAAATACCAGTGTTAACCAGGCACAAGACAATAAGCTGTTAATATTGAGAAAAAACAGGGTTGTTTTTGATACCATAAAATCTTTATTTCACCAGCAAACTGATAAATTATATACTTCATATTCTGCATTCATTCAAAGTGCAAGCTTTCTGATAATCAAACCTGATGCAGAAGTTACAATCTGCCAAGTGTTATTAATCTTCAATGCCAAAAATAAAGTTGGCACATTAAAAAAGGAAAAAAAAAAAGAAAAACAAACTTTTTTTTTTAAAGATTCTTTGTACATGGAGGTGACTAAGACCAGTTGGCAAAATTAAAATATGTCTGACAGCATCTGTGCAGAACTGACACAATAAAAACTGAACCAAAAATAGGTTTAAATGTCTTTTCCCTTCCTATTGTCTTCATTCTGACTGCATTATGTAAAAAGGAACGGGAGCAACTTCCAGTTGGCTGTAAAGCAGTTGCTACTTCATGTTCTTTCCCACATTCAAGTGGGAAATGGAACGGCAAATGGAAAAAGACTGCAGTTTATCATTACCAGGCGTTCTCATCCTCCCAGTTCAGATCATCTCCGTCCCAGCCTTCTGCTTCCACCTTTGAAAGAAATGTTGAATTTAACATTGGACAGTGTATGAAAGCATTTGTTTTAAACCCTAAACTAAGTTTAAAAGTGAACAGGCAGTATAATGTGCTTGAGTTAGCAATCTGCTTAACTTGACTTAAATACTAAAGACTGTTAAATGTCAACAGTAGCCAGTAATGCCTAACATTTAAATATTAAGATAATAAATGCAGGTTAAACAGGTTTTCCAATCTGTACAGGGCAGCTTAAACCCTGCAAAGGATTTGGGAACTGATGGCAGAACTACAACCGTGTTCATACCACCACCTGCTGCAGAAATGGAGTATTTCGCTTTGTAAACAGTAACAGTAATTGTTCCGTTACTGATATGGAGTATTTCGCTTTGTAAACAGTAATTGTTCCATTACTGATTTTTTTTTAAACCGTTTTTTCTTCATTGCAAAAGTATATACTACTAATACTAACAATGATACTTATTAATCTAAGTTACTAAAATTCTAAACCACTGGCATACAAATCTGCCTTTAAATGACTGTTGTAGTCCACAAAAAACCTAGATTATCTTTAATTTTGGGATTTACCCTTAGCAGCACATAATGTGATTCATTATTTAACTTGAAACTGTACAATTTGAAGGCAACATTTCTTTACCTACTTCCTACATGAAACTACAAACACAAACACCACACATACTCACCTCTGACACCTCAGTAGCTGCAAACTTGGAAGTAAGAGTCACAGTATTGCTGAGTGAGTCCACCTGCACCAGGCTGGTGTTTTCTGAAGACACTTCACTCATGCTGTTTTCCTCCAGTGAAAGCAAAGTTGCAGAAGACAGCTTAATATCTGGCACCATGTCAGCAAACAAATCCAGCTCAGGGTCGTGCACCGCCTTCTTCTTCACCTTAATGGTGAACTCTTCCCCTAAACTACCCTTTTCTGTAACCTTCTTTGCCACAGTAGGAGTAGGTGATTTCTGAGATTCTCTCTCTTGCTGCGCCCAGCTGCTGTCCCAGGGTGTGGTGTTCGTACTCTGTGAGGATTGTCGCACTGTTGAGGTTAGTCTTAGAGGTTTGGATGATCCCACTCTGGATGCTTCGGGAGCGTTTGTGACAGCTGTACCAACAGTTCCCACTGTGGGTGGTGTGAGGATTACTGGTTGTGGTAACGGAGCAGTCGGGGAGAGATCTGAGGTTGGCTCACCATCCTCAAAGTTTTCCCAAGGCTCCTCTTCATTGCTCTTCTGTGAGAGTGTCTGGACGTTGCTAACTGGCTCTACTTTCTCCGAGGCCTGTATGTGAATCTGGACTGACTGTGTGTTTCTGGTCTCGCTCTCCTCGGTGTCACTCCAGTTTGGCCAGTCCTCTGTTAGACCTTGCCGTCTTTCAGGCTGTTTTGGTTCCCTTTTGTTCTGATGAAGGCCGTTCAAAGGCAGTGTCATCCGTCTACTCGCATCTGAAATCATCAACAGTAAACACAGACAGGGCTTCAGTCACACAGGTCAAATCAAAGAGAACAGTTCAAAGGATTTACCTGATTTTGGAACAAGAGAGTAACTTCTTTGTATCTCTGTCTTTTCTGTTGAATTGTCCATGTGACCAAGGACCACATCTTCATTTCTTTGTGATTTAGAGTATGAATTAAATATTTTAGGAGGCTGAGTGAACTGGGTGTGGGAACCTCCGACAGTATGGACTGGAGAAGCTGCAGAAACAGGTAAGAGGAAAAAGTAAGTCTGAAGTTTTAATATCCACAAACCTTAGCCCATGTATGTGGATGGCACTGATGTAGTCTGAATGTGTGGACATCATCTGGAATGCTGTCTCTCAAACACTATGCAGTTGTTCCTGATGATACAAGCGGGCCAACAGTCCTTTGACATTAAACTGGCTATTAAATCTGACATGAATCTGAATCTTGTTTTATTGGGTGGGATTTGGAGGAGTAATGGTACTGTAAAATTAAATGCAGCCAAATTTTTCAAGTTTACAAGTTTTGAACAAACTATGAACAAACTGTGTTTTGGTGCCTGTTTCTGGGCTTTAAAAAAATTATAATTATATTCCGACAACAGAGAGGGGGTCAGAATCGGTAAAACTACTTCAATTTACATTTACAATAACCATTCAATGACAACTTTGATGTCAATGTTCTTAGTCCACATCCACATGTTATTAATAGTTTTTCCTGCTTAGCCTGTCCCTGTGAAGATGAAATGACACCAATGGGACTATGTTTACTTTGCTAATACCTGTACAACTTAAACTGTTTCCTCATTCTTCAGATAAACTGAGATCCAGCTACAAAGGTGTGTTCCTACAGCCAAATTTGTATTGTATTGTATTTTTGAACAGACTGACAGGCTTCTAACTTATTTACTAACTATACTTAATCATAACCAATAAAACAAGCAGAGTATGTTTAAGAGCAATTTCCTCATGCAGTCCCTGCGTAGAATTACAGGTGTGGCAGTATAATGTTTGTGTCTCTGTACAACAATTAACGTCATATCATTAAATCCAGGCTTTTGAGCTTTTGTTAAACACCTTCCCTTGGTATTAGGTTTAGACAAGTGCTGCTCACTTTCAGGGCTGACTTCTGTAGACTTGGTGAAGTTGGGTGTGGCACGTTTAAAGATCCTGGTCCTTTCTCCTCCAACCACCACTTGAGCACCGAGCAGAGGCACCAACACTGCTAGGCTCTGCAGTGTCATAGCGACCAGGGAATCGTTGGTGTCTCTCATTCCTAACAAAACCTGCAGCAGCAAAAAGAACAACACAAATGTAGTTTCTTTGTCAAATGAGGAATCGACCACTGGACAACAACAAATGTGTTTTACTTTTATTACTAAATCTCTACAGATATCTCTGTTGTGCTGTGGCCCAGTCAACACGTAGCCCCAGTAATTATTGCTGTGCTGTTGTTTAGTTTGGGAGTGTTCTGTGATATTAACATGCAGTCAAGTATGTGATCTGGACTGAGGCCAGTCGTGGATGATGATGATGATGATGATGATGATGATATTTGGGCTTGATAACTCACTTGAGGCAGTATCTGATTCTTGAGCTCGTCATGGGTGAAGAATTCGGCGTAGATGTGGATATAAGACAGTAGGACGACCCGCACGTGTTCCTCGTTGACCTTGTAGAGCTTTAGAAGTTCAGGGATCACATGTTTACGGTACAGGCTCACGGACAGGAGACATTCTTCACCGCTACCACCACTGCTGCAGTCTAGCACAAAGATATGATCAGATACATTATCAAGTTTTACATTCACTATCTTACTACATCTCAAACCTGGGCTGAATTTGTGGTTTGATGTAAGAGCTTAAGAAACTTTTGCATAGTCATTTATGCTGCGACTTTGTAGCAGCGTTTTTCTGGCAGAAGATTGTTTTTAACTATTTCCAATAGTTTTTACAGTATTTATAATATAGATGTTATGAAATGTGATTTAAAAGTGATTTAAAGGTGTGAATACACTGATGAGTGGCCAATAAAGAGAACTAGCTGTAGCAGAAGCAGATGCCTTCTTACCCATCTTTGGCCGGAGAAGATGGGGCAGAAAACTTCTAACAGCCATGGGCTCAGCTAAAACCAGGGAGTTAAGGAGACTAGGGACAAGACGTGCAGCTACCAGCTCTTCAGGGAGACTCTGAACGCGATCAAGTAGAAACCTACAGTTAAAAAAAACAAATATTTAAAAGAAATAGGTTTTATAAAATAATAATACAATTAAAATGTATACTTCTAAATACATTGTAAATCATTTTCTGAATGATGCAAACTAAAGAACTGAAGGCACAATGTAACATCCTCACTTGAAAAATTCATTCTTCTCTTCTTCTGTCTTTAAAGTCAGGCTCTTCAGAAAATTCATCACCTCCAAAAAGTCATTCCTATTCATAGAGGAAAAATAGAAACACTTTAGAAAAAAAAACTCCATGCTGTTGAAAACAAACGCAAATTCACCAACCTGAAAAAGTCATGAGTGAGCAGGGAGCTTAGTGATGGTCTGGACAAAGGGTCAGAGTTCAACAAGCCTGCCTGTAGGGTCTTCTTCAGACTGTCAGATAGCTCCTGTGACACTGGAAGTGGAGAAGAGTAAAGAGTGGTTTACCCCATGTGCCATGGGGTAAACACACCAGAGAAGTCTGACCATTTCAAAGTTAAGGGTCACAAGTCAGTTTCACCGTAGCCATCGAGGAAAGGGAGGAGGCGCTCCACTATCCTTCCAAAGGAGTAACAGTCCCGAGCATGAGCATGTTTGTCTGGAAGAACTTTAAATCCTTCAGCCTGTCAGGAAAAAAATGTTTTGAGTTAAAGAAAATTAAATGGGTCCGAAACCTCACTTTGGTCATGAATTAACGTCTTGTTACCTGCTCTTCTGGAGGAACACAGTTAGCTTCTCTCACATTTCCTATGCTTGTAAGGAACTAAGAAGGGGAATTCAAACGATAATTACCAAATATGTATAAAGGAATCTGATTGTGTATAAATAATTTTATAGGACATTCTTTAGGACTCATGTTCCAATTCTACCTCCAGAGTGGCTTCAGAGAACTTGCAGACGGTCTCCATTCCTCCCAGTTTCCAATGACCGTCTTCACTGACATATACTGAAGAAATGCCAACATTGTTGTGGCTGGACTTTCCCTGATGGAACAAACGCATATGTTAACAGTCAGACTTAAACAGACTCGGTATAGAAACATGTAATAAAAGACATCAATGCATCAAATAGTCTATTCAGAGCCTATAGCCGCACACAGGCTACATGTGGCCCAGACACAACCTCAGAATGACCCAGTATGTGGTAATTTGAGAAACAGAAACTGAGAAAATCTCAAATAGTGAGTTATCCAAAATTTAAACAACCAATGAATTCAGCCCTCTCTATAGATTAGCAACATGTAATTCAGAATGCTTGACTTGTTTTCAATTTTTTACAGCACTTTATTCTGTGCCTCCAAACCAGGTCTCTCTACAGTCTTGTCTACATTTCCCTTTACAAACTCATCAGCTATAACACATTTTTCCACTCAACCTCATCTTTTCTTCTGCATGTTTCAAATTTATGGATATTTATCTTTCTAAATTCTACCTGCTACCAACTATCATCTCAGATTATTGAAGTGAGAGGTCAATTTTGGTGCCTCCCGCCAAATCTCATCAATTAACCCATCCTTAATGTAACCCAAACCGCAACCTTAACCGTTCTGTAAACTTCTACAGTTGCTATTAATGTAACCCAAACCGCAACCTTAACCTTTCTGTAAACTTCTACAGTTGCTCTTATACATGTCTTGCACCATTCTCATTTTCTTTTCTGCCACTCTTGCAAACAATGGTAACAGATCAAGTTTGTTTCATTGTGCTCACCCTCTCATGCAGAAAAACAAGAGCCTGTAGGAGGTCATAGATGCCTGCACATATTTCCTCTGGTGAGAGGGTGTCCAGCAGCAGCTCCAGGGGTTGCACACGTTCTGTCACCAGGTGTATGGCACCATCCTCCACTGAACAGGATAGGAAGCGCAGCAGACACGGATGCCTTAGGGTTTTTAGGTGCTATAGAACATAAGATGACAGTATTGAGGTTAGTGAAATGTATCTGGTCTGTAATATCTGGCTGTAGTGTGATAATGGCCGAACTCCTGATGGCTTTAGGGCAGAACACATGCATATCCTGTGGCGGCCTCAATACTGCAATTACTCCATGTACAAATGTCAGCAGGTTAGATCTGTGAAATGTCATAACAGGGAGGCGTATGCATATAATAATTACCCTAGCAGCTTTGTTGACTTTGTCTTCGTTACCCCGTTTGTGGACAAACACGGATGCGAGTTTTCCATCCCGGAGCACCGACGGATACATGGTGATTCCCGAGGGTAGTGTGAGAAGCGGCTCCTCCAGGGTGCAGCTCTGCACAGCACTGCTTTCAGCACCCATAGCTGCCTAGCGGTCTGCTGGACCTGTAGGGCAAGGTTGAACCGGCAGCTGGACGTAAAACAGCCACAAAATAAAATAAATTCAGTAGCTAATCAAGTTACCTGGTCCAAATGAACCGCTTCTGTGGGAGGACTAGTTCCCTGCTGTTGAGGTTAGTTGACTGACACTGGGAAACATTAGGCTACGTTAGCCAGCTGGTCATTGCTGTGCAGTTCTGCCCACAAACAATCACGAGAATCCCCATGGGTTACGGAATTAGTCCAAATATCGTTAATTTTTTTAAAAAAAATCAAAAAGCAGAAATTTATTATCACACGATTCTACTTTCGTCCTGACTGTTCATCAAATCAGTGATGCTAACGTGGAGCTGTTGTAAACAAGAGTTTTCCTGTACAGGACGAAACCACATAGCAGGGGACACAAAACCTTAAAACGTCTGTAATTTAACCCCCATACTAATTTGCCAATTCGAATACTATATTTTGTACACAAACTATTTTTACTTATACCACAAATTTGTAATTATGCAGAAGGAAGTCGGCTTTGTGCATTATAAATTTAACAAGCGAGTCCATCTCCCCTTGGTCTGAAGCACAATGGTTGATACAAGAGTGGTTCGAGATAAAGCAGGTGTCTACGCCGCGAATTAAGGGTACAGCCCTAAGCCAACAACGAAATTTTGACCTTTAATAAGACGTCAGTTCTAAATAACATATTTTTATACGTGTGTGTTGCTACGTCATACATTGTTAAAAAGACTACTGACTTAAGTCTGGAGTTTCCCTCTTCGACTGCGTGCGCGTTCACGTTAAACAACCTGTCAGACCAGACACACGTGATCTGATAAAGCAGCTATTCTCAGTGACAGTGAATTTGATTTACTTTTAATTTATTTCCAGCTTCTTTCAAAAGAAAAAGAAAAAAAAACAAAACAAGAAATGCGGATGCAACATAACATTGCTGTATTTAATAAATTACTTTGGTCAGTCTAAAACGTGTGAGGTTTCTTATTTATTGATGTTTTTTTTTTGGATAACCATTGTAAAAGGACAAGGTTGTCCATAAAAAACACTGTATATCTCACAACCATGACCTTTAAGTAGCAATTGTTGACACATGCTTGCACATTTTCTGAAAGTTGCTAAATCTGTTTTTGAGGATGTGAAAAGCCAGTGAAAGAGTTTTACACTAATTTTCCATCAATGTGGGGGGTGGCATATAACTGACCGGGATTGGAATCAAACCCACAGCCGTCCAGGTGTAACATCTGCTGAGCTACGGCCACCATTGAGTCTCAGTTTAAATGTGGACATGTGAAAGTAGTTTTGACAGTGTCTGGATCAACCCCTGCTTTCCTATGTGTATGAGCAGAAATTGAATATAGAAACATCTGTCTGTCTTCTTTGGCTCCCTCTAGATAAAAACACAACAGATATTGATGAAGGATCACATTTGACTCTGCATAAGGAGAGTATGAAAGACAGTTATATGATCTGCATAACAACCACAGGCTGTGAAAAGACATCATGTCTGAGTTTGTAGTCCTGTCCCATCCCCAAAAGACATGGAGAAGTATATGTATGTAACAAAAAACGTAATAAGTTAAATAAAATTTTAGAAATATATATACATTTTAATTATACAAAAAATGAAGATACAACAAGATACAGTCACAATGACACTACATATACAGCACAAATCACCAAGTGTAGCTGTGCAATTTAACAGACTTCTTTCAATTCACCATGAAACAGAAAACACGTTTTATATATTTATTAGTTTTATATATATATATATATATATATATATATTTACATTATTACATTACATTATTATTACAGACTGAGACTTTTTTAGTCAAATATTTGCTGACATGTATGGAGTGACACTCAAATATCATCACATATCTCAACATTTATTGCACTTTATTTCCACAAACAATAATTTGTAGCTATCTCTTCATTGTCATAACAAATGAACACAAACCACTGTATAGGAAGTGACACGTAAGAGAAAAGGGGGTTAGTCATATCAGTAGCAACAAGAAGCAAGGGAAGGAAACGACACACCAAAAAAACTCACTTTCAAGTTTTATGTCTGACAGCAGAAGGACACAACATGGATGAACTTGGTAAGTTTTTTTTTTTTTTTTTTCAACTGAAGCTCCTTAATACGCAGTATTCCGTTGTTGTTTTATTAGTATTTGAAGTAATGGTAGGTTTTCATTAATAATCTGTAAATTAAATAAAGAAACATTGAAAAGTACATTCTAGGATGTCTCTAGGCCAAGTATAATAAGCACTGTGTGCAAATTGAATTGTGAAAAACCGATAAACGTTCAACAAACTAATGGTACAAACTTGTTAGTTGCCTCAAACGTCAGGATACCTGATGTCATGAGCCATGCGATTCACCCGACCAGAGCACTTTCTTCACTCAAACATCATAAGCAATAATAACCTACATTATGTTTTATTGCTTTGTTCTGGACATTCTTAAAATGGAAATCATTAGGTCTGATTAAAATGTTACTGGTAGCCTTGGAGTTTCAGTTCTGTAGCCTTTCACCACTTCCTGAGGAAGATTACTGGCATGAAGCAAACCCCGTCCTTCAAGGTGCACTATACTGTAAATGTCTGTGTTTAACAGTTAACCCCTGCAAGAAAAAAAAACCAATGTGCTAAAGTGGTTTTACTGTAAATACACCAGTGACCTCCCTGTATGGGTTTACTATATTATTTGTGACCTTTACCCTACAGATCTGCTGCTGGAAGAGCTTGCACTCGACGTAGCTGTTTCGCAAAGTGTTGGTGAAAACAGCAGTAATGACTCTTCCAAACATGAGGTAACAACACCAAAACTTGTACACACCAGAATCTGGGCTGTTCAGCTACAGCCACTGTATATTCACGCACCTGTTTTCTATGATTAACTGCATGGAAATATAAGTTTATCATAGAAAGGAAAGCTTTATTGGACTTCCATTTACTAAACGTAATGAACAACCTTAACTTAGAATAGAAAAAATGGAAGTAAATGCAACAACATTTTTGTCACAGAATATTTACTCACAGGTAAAGTATCATAAATACAATTTAAAAAAAATCTGAGTTCATGTCAAGAACTGTGTTCTGACCAAACAAAATTTAACATCCTATTTCAGTTAAGAACATCTTGAAACTCTCTTGTGTATACCCACAGGTACCAGACAATAATAATGCTACTCTTTTCAAGACTGATCAAACTTCACCAACAAGACAAAACGTCGACAGGTGAATCACAACCTCCTTACGTTCTCCTAACTTCTACTTATAAATGCTTTTGCACTAGTTGTAATATCTTAAACTAACGTTAAGTAAAATTCCCTTTAATATTGGTATTTTGTTTACAAAAATGTGAGCACACATTGGTTATTTTAGAAGTTTACTCTAACATAAGGGTGCCAAAAACTTTAACTTGATATTATAAATATGGGCTAAAAGACCAGTTAATTTAATTATTATTTATTAGCTTATCTCACCTCAGATCCCTTGCACCAGTCTGACTTCCTGTGCAACGTCACACATGTAAAAATAAACCAAATAGCTTTTCATGATGATGTATCTTGGTCTCTTTGCTGTACTTTGAACAGTGAACTCTCCGGTCCTCTGGCATCTTCCTTGACCACAGACTCTCCCACTAAGGAATTGGAGTCCATTTTGCAAGATCTGATGTGCATGGGCGAGGAGGTGGGTATACAAACAGTAATGTTTTTGTTCTCACTTCAGAATATAAATGTAGTTCCAAATATTTCGAAATGGTGAGTAGGAACTAAGAATGGAAAACTCAACGCAGGAGGAGTAACCCCGGCTTGCCTACAGAGGGCAGCCTTGTATCTCAACACAGCCTTTGAGGCGTAGACGTGACTTGTTGAAATCTGCCACCATGTTACAAGCAAAACGAAAAACCTATTTATATATTGTTTTTCTTATAAAAAAGGATCCATCAGCCCCGACAACACCTCCACAACTGACCCAGAAGAAGTCTGTGAGAGGGAAACCAGAAGAAACGCCACAGGAGAAGGAGAAGAGCAACAATGGAGCGGGTTCTGATGAAAAGGCATCAAGCACACGTACCATCACAGATTCAATCGATGCCCTGCTGGGGGGACTGAGCTCTGACATGGAGAAGATTGGTGTTCGCACTGCAGCCAAAGGTCACTGCGCTTTCTGCCACAAATCCATTGTGGGAAAGGTACAAGTCAGGAATTACTAAGTGTGTCCAAATACTGTCATGTAAATATCTTTTTTTTAATCTCATTTGATTTCTGACTGATTTCAACAACATGAGAATCATTCCTATCATCATTTCCTTTCTCCAGATGATCACTGCACTGGGTGAAGTGTGGCACCCGGAGCACTTTGTGTGTTGGGTTTGTAAAGCAGAGCTGGGCACAACGGGATTCTTTGAAAGGGATGGACAGGCATACTGTAACGAAGACTACCATCGCCTCTTTTCACCTCGCTGTGCGTATTGCCAGGGGCCCATAACCCAGGTGACAAAATGGCACTTCATTTCCAATTATTTTACAATGATATAAAGACAGAGAAATGTAAGCAGAGTATAAAGGCCATTAACATATGAAGTAACATATTTTACATATTTTACATAGTAGTAAAATGTAACACAATTTTTGACATAAGTCTGAAGTGAAAGAAAGTGAATGTAGCACAATCCAATGTATAGCCTACAACCTGCAAATGTAAACAAAGCCGCCTCCCTTGTATAACATTGCATGATGACATATTGGTCCGCACCGTCTCATCAACGAGTTCTCGTAACAACGAGTTGGCAAGTTTTAACACTGTATGTAGGAATGATGGAACAAGACTTTCTGAAGAAATCTATGGGGAGGTGGCGACATGACCGCGAAATGCTGAAGGTGGAGGACGTCGTAAACCGAGGACCCCTGTAGAAACAATGATAACTTGACTGTCTCCCCAGTTACAGCTGAGCCTTTTCTTTTTCATCTCCTATAACCTTAAATGACCAAATGACCATTTATAGATTAAATTATGAAATATTCAACATTCAATAATAAATACAACTCAAAACTTGAACTTGTGTTACAGACTTAACCAATTATATGTAGTTACTTCAGATTAATTATAACTAATCCAACTTTGTTTTTTCACTGTCAGCCTGTCTATGATTTGTTAAATCCACAAATCTAACTGTTTAGATTTTCTTTTTTAACCGTTCCTTACCAGAACATCCTGACAGCATTGGACCAGACCTGGCACCCTGAGCACTTCTTCTGTACACACTGTGGAGACCTCTTTGGCCCAGAAGGTAACAGGCTTTTGCACAATTCCATCTTCCCTTTTTAAACCACATCTTTTAGAGTCTCTCTCACATATATTTTATACTACCAGGTTTCCTGGAGAAGGATGGAAAACCGTACTGCCACAAGGACTTCTACAACCTCTTTGCTCCTAAGTGCACCGGCTGTGGAGAGCCAGTGAAGGAGAACTACCTGAATGCAGCCAATGGCACCTGGCACCCAGAATGCTTCGTCTGTGCTGTGAGCCTCTTAGTTCAGACCACACACCGCTCGGAGTTGCACACAGGCCGGAGATACCCACACATATGCTTTATTTGCAACGTTTTGTCTACAAGCCTGATGAAAACCGTATGCCTGATGAATACAGTGTGGTTGAAATGATGCAAATAAATCAAGGAAACCATATTCCTCGGTGTGGGTATCTTTTACATTCTTCTCAAACCCACTTCTGCATGTGGCATTTGGTGAAAAAAAAAAAGGTTGAGTGTGCAACTCCATTTTTGCTTTACTCCAGAAACTGCTAAAGGTGAAATGCTCTTTTTTTCAGACAATTTCAACTCAAGAATATTACGGCCCCTTAAAGATTAGTTTAAATACTGCGCCCTCTAAATCATACTGTGAAATAAATACTGTAAACACACAGTTTTACTGCTCAAAATGGAACAGATCCAACTATAAGAACCTAAGCCAAACCTCTCTTTGGTGTTTCCTCTTATGTCTGTATCTTTACACAGCAGGATGGCAGTTTTATCACACAGGCAGTGTTACTTTATGTTTTAGAATTCTTATCTTTTCTAGCCCTTCTACAGCCTTTAAAGGTAGAGATATTTAGATAGTACAAATATTAACATAGACTTTTATAAATGATTGGAACTCGCATCAGAAACTGGCCAAACTGTGGACATGAACTCCAGACTCCATAAAGAAATCATCAGTTTAACCAGGACTTGAACCATGACCTTTTTTCAGCAGCAGGCAGTAGTTCCCAACGTTCAGTGCTATCAGTGCAGTGGGTAAAATAAAGTAAAGATCAGGAGAGTTTTGAAACAACAGGTCTTAATCTGTTGATATTGGGGCGTGGCAACAATAGGTGTTCATCAGGCTTGGACCCACGACCGATATGTGTGTAAGGCATGATAACCACTACACTATGCAATTGCAAGAGAAACATAACGACTCTGGTGGGACTCGAACCCACAACCTTTGAATTTCTGCTTCAGTGTTACCTAGAAGTCCAATGCGCTATCCATTGCGCCACAGAGCCCCTATTGGTGAGTCTGATATAGTGCCCATCTTGCAGAGATGCTGTAGAACCACGTGTGTCCAGATGTCAATGTCGTCCAATGCCTGTCCAAAGAATATGAACAGAATGTAGACATTTTAACGTTATTTCTTAGTATTGATTTGGTATTGAAGTTGTTGACAGTTTGACTGACACCAGGTTCTCCCGGTGCTCTTCTACAGTCTGTTTTTCTGAGTCACCTTACCACGCCTCGTCTTCTGCCTTAAATTACAGGACTGTCTCAAGCCCTTCACCAACGGCTGCTTCATGGAGTTGGACGGCCGACCTCTGTGCACCGTGCACTTCCATGCCAGACAGGGCACTCTGTGCGGCGGCTGCGGCCAGCCCATCACAGGCCGCTGCATCTCTGCTCTCAATCACAAGTTTCACCCTGAGCACTTTGTGTGCGCCTTCTGTCTGCGGCAGCTGAGCCAAGGCATCTTCAAGGAGCAGAGTGGGAAACCGTACTGCTCCACATGCTTCAATAAACTCTTTCTCTAGGATGTGTGGGGAACAGCAAGTAGCTTCACAGTGTCAATTTTTTATTCTAAAACATTTGTAGTTTATTATTGATAGTTTAATATATTCTGAATGTACTTTTGGTTCTATTTTTTTCCTTCTACTAGTTAAATAAAGGCCATGATAAACAGGGTGTAACAAGAACAGCATAGTTATAGCAGATACTGTATGTCATAACATGAAGGGAACGTTCTGTGGAATTTAACAGGATTTCACATAATGATGATCACATAAAACCTAGAAAGAAAAACAGAGAGGTGGGGGCCTCAGCCATGGTTTCCATAACTGGTCCTGGATTTGCCATAAGACTTGGCCCAGCCGACTATACAGCAGTTTGTTCACAGACTTGTCCTATTTATCCCGACAGCTTGTGTTGGCATGGAGCTGGAATGGCATGGAATCAATACGCCAGCTCCGGTCTCCTCTTATTCCGACTGACCAACACAGTGGAATCACACAACCTCTCCATACACCACAGAGACCTCTTATGAAGAGGCCCACGGAAGATTAATGAAGCACAAAGGTGGTTTCAAGGGTGGAGATCTTTGGAGCCCTGGACCTCTCTGCAGATACCTACTGTAGTGTGGATTAGCCATAAAATGATTTGAAATTGAGTTAATACTTTTAGGTATTTATTTTTCTTAGGTATTTTGTAATTGCATCCCGGCTGAATTTAAAATTACAAAAAAATCTCAAATAAAAAAAAAACTATTTAAAAAACATTCCTGTCTGATGTTCAAGTCCATGGTCCATGGATGTGGGGGTGGTGTGTGGTGCACTTAGAGCGTTCCGTGTTTAGCCAAACTAACTTGTATTGGAGCGGTGTGACCATAACTGCTGCAGCGTTGACTCTTTCTCTTTAATTATTTTCCTACTTTCTGTGTACTCTCCTCCAAGGTACTGTGATAGAAATATTCAGTCATATTTAATATCGTTTTACTTTCTTTGTGTGTTTGTCAATAGTTTTCTTATTTATTATTTCAATACATGTTGTAATATCTCGTAGTGTCATGTTTTTTTGTTTCAATTTTAATAATTGAATTGCTGGAAAGTGTAGCAAATAAAGCTGAGCACAAAAAGTACTCACTTTAGTACTTTAGTTGAAGTTAGAATTTACATACGAAACACAGCAGATAAGTAAAAGGTAGTCAATGAGATGTTGTGTAATAGTACATATACTATATTACATTTAATGACATTTAACTCAGAAATACTCCAATATAAACCTAAGGTAGATGCTGTACAATGTTGGTGCTAACAGAAAACAGAGAAAAAAAGGAGAACTTGTGGGGTTTTGCATTTTTGTATAGATTTGTATGATTATGTTGTTCTAGCAGTACTGTGTGTGTGTGTTCTCCGCAGCTGCACTGAACCCTGGGCTGACGAGCTGAAGCACCTGTGGGCGTCGCTCTCAATCAGCGAGCAGGAAGTGTCTGTGGCAGAGAGGTCACCAAACTCAGGTTGGTAAAAGTTTGGTCTCTCATGTCTTGTCTGTAATCTTGTCTGTAGTCTTGTCTGTAGTCTTGTCACCCCGTGGTGATTTGTGTGTGTTTTGTCTGCAGAAAAGTTGGACCTTCCGGCCTATCTTGTATTTTGAATTGTTCACTATTTTGAACTGTGTCTAACAGACGCACAACAGAACAGCACTTAAGAGTTCTACCCTTGTAAACGTCTGGTATAAGTTAGCACAATAAGTTATGTTTACTTGTTTTTTTTTTAAATAATCCTTTCATACTATATATTTAATTTTAATCAGGATTTCTTCCTGTTAGAGACATTAAAATATTTCTGGTTAAATTCTCCCTCTCAGTGTGCACTGCTCTAACACAAGCAGTTCATAAATGTGGAAGGTTGCACCAGTTTTCATTGTGTCCTAACATAAACACCGTCAGCTCTGCTGGCGGCTCCTCAGCCTCTCTTCAGGCCAGTGAGTTAAATGTGTGTTTAAGTGGGAACGGAGGTGTGCATAAATCACGCTGTCATCACCGTCAGACCAGCTCCTCGCGGCCTCTGCTGGGTGTAGATCATGCATCCTGGAGCGTCTGTGAGTGTTTCTTGTTTAAGTCAACATCCAAGATTGTGAGTTTTTTTTTAATAATCTAAGAATTTGGCTCTCTGGTTACATTACTACATAAGAACTCAGAGACATGCTGTGATGTTAAATGTTTGACTTGTTTAAATACACATGAGAGTTTCCAGCATAAAACATTCACCAAAATTTGGATCCTGTCTGACACTTTGGCGTGTTGCTCAGCTGTAAAAGCCCACGTTACCACAGAGTGGAGTGGCTTCTATGTTCTAACAGGCATTTCTGCGTTTTACCGTCACAACTGAATTCTGTATAAACGGCACCATCTGCCAGAACTCTGTTAAATGGTGTTTTTATCCCAAGTGTCTTTAAAGATATAAACCTGACAGAAGTTTAGACCTAGATATGTGAAAACCTTCAGAAACACATGGTAAGCTTAAGAAATAAGTATAAAAATCTCTAAGGAAATTCTAATTGGGGGATTTTTACTGAGTTTTGTTTTTCAAAGCAACCTAAACCCAACACAACACACACAGGTGTGAATATTTACCACCATTCAGGTACTCCAGATTCATATTTGAAAAATTAAAAAAAAAAATAGAGAAAAGACCCTAGAACAGGCATGAGCAAACTAAGGTCCGGGGGCCAATGTGGCCCGTTCAGCTTTTTAATCCGCCCTGCCAAACTTTTCCAAATTATATAACTTATTTATATTATCAATATACTTCTGCCCTTTCCCTGCAATACCCACGTTTCTCCAATAGATGGTGTAAAAAATAATAAAAGCATTTTAGTTCACACGAATGCTCCATCTATCTGCGCCTGACAGAGTCAGATTTTAGGACCAATAGTGGCCCGGGAGTTAAAAGGTTTCCCCACGCCTGTGGTAGAATAACGCATAGACTCTTGTAGCCTGAATTAAATCTTAAATCTTGATCTTGAAAAATACAGTAATTTTGTTAATTTTGATCATGATTTACTGTATTCCCCTCCACCTGTGGGTTCATGCTCTCCAGAGTTCTCTCCTAGAGAGACACTAACCTAAAACTCAGAGTGTATTGTACGTCTGAGTGACTGCACAGGAGGAACCTTCTCTGGCACGTAGTAAAAATGAGAAAACATGAAATGTGAGCGCGGTTCCTCTTAAAGAGCGCTGAATAAAGGGCCGTCTGTGAGAAGGCAGAGAGTGTAAGTCAGGTGACATTTACAACAGTGAAACCGAGTACAAACAGTCTGGAGGAAGAGTGGGTCACGAGATGGCAGCTCCAGCTCAGTGGGGGAGGAAACAGGAGTGAGGAGTATACTGGGACTTAATGGATACTGGTGCTGAGGGGAGGCAGAGAGGGGAGGCAGCGGCTCAGGGCTGCGTTACCCCTGCATGACACCGAAACCCAACACTCACCTCCCCTCCTGTAAAACAGCCGTGTCCGCTCGGCCACCCCTGATGGGGACGGTGAGGTGGCCGGTCCAGAACCAGGCGGCCCAACTGTGGGTCACACCTGGCCGACCTGGGGCTAACCTGCAGACCCAGCCGTACACGTGGACTTTGAACCTATAACTGTCACATTAGTCTGAGGTAGAGAAGCTCGTTAATCAGTGCACTGGCTCATGGACACACAGGCACACGCATGAGAAGTGCCAGCTGGAGACACGTCCTGCTGCAAATCAGTCCTGACGGCTCGAAATCACAGCTCCAGTAGGTACAATAAAACACGCACGGCTCAGATTACTGTAACGTTATTACTGAGAATGTGCGTGTACAGCGTGTACTGATGAATGTAACAGTTGACTGCAACGCTTACACCGAGAAAAGGCTGATACTTTAGTCTGGAGGAGAAATATCTGTCATACATCCGCACCAACAGCCATCTGACTTACACCAAGAAATGATTGGCTTAACGAGTTTTTGTTTTTTCCTTTAACGTTTCAGTGTTTAATTGTTATGTTTCAGTCACGCCATTGATGTCATGGAAGTATGAGGAACATTTAAAAAAGAACTTGAAAGTTCAAGGATGATCTAGGGCAGAGGTCACCAGATATAAGGGCCAGAACTTTTCTGGACCGACACATTAAGGACTGGATACTAAGATAAACTAAAAAAACAAAACAAAAACAAAAAGAACATTTTTGTTCAAATTACTCGATGTTAATTTTGGTATCTATTCGTGGGCCTGGATTGGACAGTTTGGTGGGCCGGATCTGGCCTGCGGGCCACCAGTTGATGATCACTGTTCTTGGGTCATATTTTGTATGTAAATATGACCTTGTGCATGACAGAATACTGCAGGTACTGAGCAGAGGAACAAGTCCCTCAGGACAAAGATTTCAAAGCAGACTGGAGATTTAAGGATGTGCTGTTCAATGGTTTATGGTGAGAATTGGTCACTAGATATGAGTGAAGTTAAACTGGAGACTTAAGTGTGTGAATTAATTATTGACCAATTACAATCAATCAGATAACCCTCTGTCTGAGTTAGCCAAAGTGTGGAGCCTGGAGCAGTATCTGTCTGAAACACAAATGTTTCTGTGTGAGCCTTTGCGTGTGTGTTTTTAGCACCAACGGAAAAAGCGACAATTTCAACACTCCAGAAATGACTTCCACTCAGAATAAAGTTGAGCTAGACCCGGCTCCACTTCTCCTCGTGTTTGTTTTGGCGCCTACTTCCTGCTGGGTCCAGGTATCACACCTGATTCATGACTGACTCCTCTGTCCAGAACGGACTTGTTGTTGTCTTTGGCTGGACACTCGGTGTTCCCTGCTATCTCACACTCTCGTATACACCCGCAGGAGTATGAATACGTTGAAGACCCACACGCACACACATGAACACATGAAGTGAAGAATTTAAATAGAGTGTATTTTCCACTGTGGCCCTGAAGTTTTCTCAAGTTTAGTTGTGTTTTCTGAAATGTCCTTTTGTTGTGACCTTCGGGGCCACCGTACATTCTCAGTCACCAATAGAAGTAAGAAGGAAAAGCAGTGGTGTGTACAGATACATGAGAAAATATTAGAGATAGATAGGCAGATGGATAGACAGATGGATAGATAGATAGATAGACAGATAGATAGATAGATATTTAAGGCCCTTTGATTTCTACACTGTTGCCCACTAATAGATCACCAGTGTAACTGAAGGGTCTAACACACTGAAGTTTATGTTCTGTTCTGTTAATGTGTGATTTGTGTCCAACACGTGGTTGACAATAGTATAAAAATCCTGTATCCAGAACTTTGAAATGACTTTCTTGATGAAGCCAACTTGTCTTCATCAGTCAGGTCACTATCATTCCCAACACTCTCCGATGATCAACAGTGTGAAGCTGAGCTCTCCATGTGAAGCGGCCCACACCTGCATGTCTGCCTGATCTCAGTGATATCTGCTGCCAAACGCTTCTCTCGTGTTAACATGGAAAAACATGTAAAAAGGTAGTGAAGCACCACGGCCGACCACCACAGACTGGCTGAAGGTCTGAAAAAGATTTATAAGACAGTCAGGTCCTTCTGTAAGCAGGCCTTCGGTGTCAGGATGATAGATAGACTCATTATGTTCCTCCATCCTGTCCATGTGTGGCTGTCCAGTGCAGTTTATCACAGTCTGTAGTATGTCCAGAGAGACCGTCGTCCGATGGAAGTATTTGAGTCAATGAAACCTTTCTTGTATTTGTTTAAACGTGTTCTGAGTAGTGGGCGTGGCTATAACTCCGATGGAAGTATTTGAGTCAATGAAATCTTTCTTGTATTTGTTTAAACGTGTAACATAGTTTCTTTTGTTTGTTTTTTCAAATACTATCACTTTCAGGCAAGATTTGGACTATAAAAAGGAATGTAAGTGTGACTGGGCCGTGTGGATCTGTGTTACGGTCCAACATTGTTTGTATGACACAGGACAGAATTTAAACTTGACATCGTCGTCAGACATTAAACAGTTTGGCTCCAGGTCTCAGGGTCATTTAGGAATATGATGGAAACTCCGCCCCCTCTGGAGAAGCTTCGGCATTGGTCATTAAGTGATTTGTTTTAAATGACGATGCGTAGCCACAATATGGCTGTGTTGTCTCTGAGAGATGAAGGACCTCCTGGGTTTTAAAGCAGCTGAGAAGGTTGTCAAGGACTTGGAAACGTCGCAGCGAGCAGATCAGGTCTGGCTGCTTGATAAATCACAGCCGCTCACAAGACTGGGCCGCAGACAAAGGTCCAGCAGGTCAACTAAAAATACTCAGATGACAAGAATGTATTTCACTCACACATACGTACACACACACACATACGTACACACTTCAGCTATGCTTCAAAGTTATTCCATTAACAGGTGTCTGTTCTCCAGCACCTCGGCTTCGCTGTGTTTGACAGAACATCCATTTAAATGGGACTGAGAGGACTCAGCTTTGCCTCAGAGAAAAACCTATTAGTTTCAAGCTTCTAATTTATGG